GTTCTTGAACGTGGTCCCCTCGGCTGTGCCACCACTGAGAAAGGCCCCGGAAGTAATTTACGGGTGAGGAATGGCGCTGGTCATCGGATGGTTCTGACGAATTCACGGGCTCATACGGACGGGCCCATCGAGTCGGTGGCCAGGGTAGCAAACGAGTACGCTCGTCGGAGATAGGATGGGCCGAGTCTCCTGGGTCGAGACGTGAGACATCCTCTTGAGCCGTCCGAGTCGCGAAAGTTGGGCGTCGCCGAGACAAGGAGTCGGAGGATTCTCCGACTCGTTTCGCCATATCAGTTGCAAGATTTATGGTATGAACATGAGGGTATAAACAACAAAGCAATTTAGATAAAAGAAGCTAATAATCCTGGCAAGACCATTGAGTCTACAAGAGACGGCACTAATATCAAATGAACCGAAAAAGAAAAACAAGCCGTATCAGTAGATGACGTTGATGGGATGCAAACTGGAAAATGTTTGCATCCCATCAACCGCGATCGGCCACGGAGTGCTTGGCGCTATGATTAGTGTCTCAAACCCTCCTCATTTACATCTTGGCCTTTTCACTCGAATCTTCCCTCTGAGAAGCTGACCTGCACTGTTATTTCAAGCTTCCAGTCTTCTTTCCATGCCCATCCCCCGAGCCTAAACACGGCATCTTGTCAGGAGCTAACTTGACCCTGAGGCCACCTTCAAAATGGCGGATAATGGAGAGGGCTCGTCCCTAAATCCAGCTCGATCTGTGCCAATAGCCTCGTCTTCAGTGCGCTCGAGGTCCCCCGCACCTGATTTTGGTAGCAGACAGGCTTCCATGGCACGCCTCGCATCCCCAGTACCCTCCCCCTCGTTGGGAACATCCTTGTCGTCTCGACAGGGTATTCCGGCCAGCCGACCTGTCACAAATATCAGCACCGAGCAGGAGTTTTCCAGGTCGATTGCCAATCCATCTTCGATCCCCGGTCCTGGGCATTCTATCCTTGCATCCCAACTCCAAGAAAGCCTTGGTCGCTCGCCGCCGAGATTTGGGACTCCGTCGCGACACAACGGATCCCCTGCGGTGCATTCGACTTTAGACACCCGACCATTAGCCTCTCAGTATGGCTCTTTCGATACCAAAAATGGAGCCGACTCCCCGGGCATGGCTCCATACGAAGACCCTGAAGTAATCAAGCGGCATCTAGTCACGGAACATACAGACAATCAGTCAGAAACTGCGACCAGCGTTGGTGGTGAGGATAACTTCTCGAGTCTACAGCTTCAGGGTGGTGATATCACACGACAAGTTTACCGTTGGGCGGAGGATGCCGAGGCCGAAGCCGCAGGGCGATTCCTGCGCAGCAAGAGCTTTAGTGTCAGCCGACCAAGACCAGAGGCTGATACGGAAGACATTGACACAATCCGGGTTCCAGGAGGGTTCCGCAGAGATTATCTACGAAGAGCAGCTGGAAGTCCACACCGCGGAAGTGTCCACGGGTCAAATACAGGGGCGCCCCAAGGAAATGGCGCACCTCAACTCCCGACTACTAGCTTCTTGGAGTTCTTGACTCTCTATGGACACTTTGCCGGAGAAGAATTGGAGGAAGATGATGAGGTGCTAGGGCCGGACGAGTACTTCTCGTCTGATACCTGGGACGAAGCCGAGGAGGGCAGAGAGTCTGGAGAAGACGCAGCGCTATTACAGCCTGAAGCATCGGGTCGGAAGAAGAGAAAGCATAAGCAGCGCTCACCGGCAGGAACGACTACTACAACAGGTGCAATACTCTTACTGCTCAAATCCTTTGTGGGTACCGGTATTTTGTTCCTGCCACGAGCCTTCCTCAATGGTGGTATGCTCTTCAGTAGCATGGTGCTTCTAGGAGTCTCTATTCTGAGTTATTATGCCTTCATTCTTTTGGTCAATACTCGCATGAAGATCGAAGGGTCCTTCGGTGACATCGGTGGCATCCTATACGGCAAACACATGCGACGCATCATTCTCGGATCAATTGTCCTGAGTCAGTTAGGGTTTGTGGCAGCGTACATTGTCTTCGTCTCGCAAAATTTGCAGGCATTCGTGCTAGCTGTGAGCAAGTGCGTGACATTCATTGACATCAAGTACATGGTTTTGTTGCAGCTGGTCATTTTCCTGCCTCTGTCGTTGATTCGGGACATCAGCAAACTTGGGTTTACTGCCCTGATTGCTGATGCCTTCATTCTTTTGGGTCTACTATATATCTACTACTACGATATCAGCACTCTGGTTGACCAGGGCGGCATTTCAGACGTCGTTTCCTTCAATCCAGCCAACTGGTCCATGTTCATTGGTACCGCCATCTTCACCTACGAAGGTATCGGTCTCATCATCCCAATTCAAGAATCAATGAAGCAGCCAAACAGGTTCCCTGGTGTCCTAGCCGGTGTCATGGTTTTGATCACATTTATCTTTTTGTCTGCCGGTGCCTTGAGTTATGCGGCTTACGGATCGGCCACGAAGACCGTCATTCTTCTTAACCTCCCCCAGGATGATAAATTTGTCAACGTTGTCCAGTTCCTCTACTCACTTGCCATCCTGCTGAGCACTCCGCTGCAGCTCTTCCCCGCTATCCGCATTATGGAGAACGAGCTCTTTACTCGCAGTGGCAAGTACAACCCATATATCAAGTGGAAGAAGAACGGCTTCCGTTTCTTCCTGGTTATGGTCTGTGCTATTATTGCCTGGTGTGGTGCAAATGATCTAGACAAGTTCGTTTCCCTGGTCGGAAGCTTTGCTTGTGTTCCATTGATCTACGTATACCCGGTATGTCCTCATCCTATATTCTCCTAATTATCACAGAACGATATGACTGACTCATTATATCGCTGTAGCCCCTCCTGCACCTGCGTGCCTGTGCTCGCTCCAAACGCCAGGCGATTGCCGACGTAGCTCTTGCTGTCTTCGGTGCTATATGCTGCGTCTATACAACGTACCTGACTCTCATGAGCTGGATGGGCCCTGACGTCCCTCAAAGCCCAGGATACTGTGACTCTCTTTGAAGAATTTTTTTTTTTCGGTTATTGTAGAGCATGGCGAGATAGGTCTTGTTGCATTTATTTGTTCTGTCTCAACCCTAGACTGGCAGATCTATCATTGGGTTTTCATATGTTGCTTCAACACATGGATAGAGGGCATACTTGTGATGTCCATTCACAGTCTCGGTTAAATTTTCAGTATAGTCGGCGAATTATGGGGTCAGACGACCCCTTCTGTATACTTATTTTCTTGGTTTGGGGGACTATGTACTCAATCATATTTATGGGACTTTCTTTGGAAGTTCATCGGATCAGGAATGACGACCGAGCCTATCACGAACTCTCAAAGTTCTCACGATTAAAAAAATAGGTCATCCCATAAAGAGAATATGATTCGAGCGCAATAATATAGAGCCTATGTACAGTGACTATCAGCAGACCGGAACTAGAGTGCAGCCAGCGCCGATATCTAAGCGTCTTCCCCAAACCCGCAAGTCTCCCTCTAGATGCCTCCTCTTTTATCATTGTCCGGGACTCATCTGGCCTCAATGCAGTAACCAGCAGACCATGTATATGGAGGTGCAATGCCGCGAAACGAGACAGATGCTTATTAGCCCCATTGGAAACCGAAAAAAAAAATAGCACAAATTTCTTCCTGGAAACGATTCTTAAGCACCGGCCTCGGTGGCTGCGCCGCCCTTAGCAGCCTGCTCGGCGAGCTGCTTTTCCCGGCCTCCCCACCTGCAAAATAGAACCAAAATTAGTAAACACGATTATATGATGATTGTAGACAAACAAGACCAAAACAGGCCATGAGGTGATGAAACGTACTTCCAGTAGTTGAGATAACGGAATCCCTGGGTAGTCTGGGCACCAAAGTTGGTCAAGTGGCATGCGAAGAGGAGGTAGTTCTTGGGGGTGATGGCGAGGGAGTAGCGCATGAAGGTGGCAGCGTAGACAACGAGGGCACCGGTCATGGGGCCGGAGATGCTGTGAAGATGGAGGTATCAGTATAGTTGCTCTGAGACTATTGCGGCCAAGGGTAACGCAGAAGTCGAAAGCCGAAGCTCCCGTCATTTATCGAATAACAACGTACATCTCAGCGTCCTTCTGTGTGTCCATCACAGCGGCAACGGGGATACCGAAGTTGGAGACGGGGCCCCAGAAGTCTAGGAAGCGCCATTGATTGTCAGCAATCTGTGCAGTTCATGTGGGCTTTGTTGCTTTGTTAATGTGCAAGTTTGAGAGGGAAGAGCGAGTTCCTCTCATCCTTGGTGTCGCTTCCAGTGCTTATTCTCCTTCGGCCTCATTCGCCGTTGGCCGATCTCGGGACGGGAAGGGAAATTGGGGTTGATACATACGAGTTGAGCAGACATAGTCCAGCACCGAGTTGGAGCGGATCTTGGCGTTGATTGCCTTAATAAAAGCAGCCATAATGAAGTTGCTGGGAGTTATCACACGGGATTGGATTCGGGGGAGGAGAGGTCGGTATCTGGATGATGCGGAAGTGCTCGACTCACCCGGGGTCGGCCGTGTCACGTGAAGTACATTACTACAGTATCATCGTTGAAACTGATATTTTATAGATCAAGTATTATTTTGTTGTACCGAAATGAGTACAAATAGCTAGCAACTATTGGTGGTTATGTACAATATCGTCGTTTTTAGTTGTATTCTTCATATATTGTGGTTTTGGGCGCAATTTAAGAAGCGCAATACAAATATATATTGGAGTGGTACTTCACGCTGCCCACCTCAAATCCACCTCTATGTTACGATTGAATGTTCAAACCACAACAAAGGGGGACAAAAACAACTAAATGATATATGATAAGAACGCAAATCTGTTACATATAGGCCTATCTATGTAGGCAGTGGAAGAGTGGAAGGGAGTAGCATGCAATATAGAAGACAAAATAATTCAACAGGACGTGGACATGAAGAATCGGGATATTGGAAGGGTTGAATGAAAAGGCCGCGTTTAAAAAGCTAGCATATTTTTTTTTTGACTTAATGCGTAATTCAAAAGGATTTTGGTCTTTTTTGTCCTGTTCCTCGACACGACCTCCATCCATGCGCCGCAACGCCTTGCCCAGTAGAAGTTGGGGTAATCTAGCCTGTCCGCGTATCGTTATCTCTCGCTGGAGGCGTTGACAATTGTTCTTATTCTGCGCTGAGCCGCCCTTGTTCCTTTCGGGGTGAAATCAGATCGCTGATAATTTAAAGCATAGAATAATCCTCTGTGCACATTTCCAATTACCTGCCACCAAATCCAGGAGGAGGGTATCCGCGTCCCTGACCGGGAGGCTGGAAGCCAGGAGGAGGCTGGAAACCGGCAGCTATGAGAATGAAATATTAGTATGGAAGATGGAGTGGGATAATTATTTGGGCGCAAACTTACGGGGGCCACCCTGAGGAGCAAATCCAGGAGGAGGTGCAAAACCCGCTAGAAAGAAACCAGTTAGTTTAAGTCTCAGTCAGTGTAGGCAAATGGGAGTACTTACGAGGTCCACCGGGGGGACCTCCACGTCCAGCGAAGCCGGGGGGAGGGGCACCTGGGAAACCGCCAGGAGGGAATCCAAAGCCGCCTGGGGGTGGGGGTCCACCAACACCAGCTGCAGGGCCTCCGAGTCCGATAGGTAGGCCGCGGCCAGCGGGCTTGCTGATACCAGGGCCCGCGGCAAGAGTGGCAGCTGCGCCGGGTCCGGTAGTTCCAAGTCGGGCAGAGGGGTCGGCAGGAGGAGGACCTTCGACAGAGCAAGATACGACTTGAGTACCGCGCACGATTGTCAGGCCGAGGCTTCGCTTCTCTTCCGCTTCGACCAGCTGGGCGTTTGTGGAACCGGCAGCGGGCTTGGATTTCCGCTTGATGCGACGGAATTCTTCTGTGTCTGCAAGAACTAGGTTCATGTGCTAGAGAGCAGAAAGGTTAGTTTGAGCGCCTCGGTTTTTGAAGCAGTGAGAAATACCTTATCGAATGCAAGCATGGAACCGGTCATTTGACGTCCATCGTTCAATGTTACGCGCATCCGGTAGTTAATCTGGAGGAGAAGTTAGATATTTCAATCGAGAACTAGAAGTGATTTGAGCCAGACTCACAAGGTTTTGCTAAACGAAAGAAGTTAGCGACAGCCATTGACCGCACGGGTTTCGGGGGTGCAAACGGGGACGAGAAACTCACCATCTTGTGGGAAGCCATGTTGGCAAGCGAGCGCGCACGGATGCGACTTGACAGACCAAAAAATAGAGATCAGTAGATAGAGAAAATCTTTCTACTGTGGGGGATGAAGCAAAAGATGCGAGATCCTATCAAAGGTGTGAAGCTCAAGCTTGTCGGGTGCTGCCAGTTCTTGATACTGAATTACCTAATATATGAGTCAGCCCAGTCTCAAGCCCTTTGATGCCTCAGGCACAAAGCGGGTCGAAAGTTTTACGTGACTAAGCGCTAAAATTAGGCTCATTACCAAAGCAAAGATCAGGGCTTCCAAGTCACGTGTAGGAACCCACAGTCCACACTTTCTCTTTTTCCGCGATCACTCTTGTCTCCTCAGTCGACAACCACTTCACGCCCAACCGCCGTCATGGTATGTCCAGCTCCTTGCAATCCAAATCACACATTCCAGATCGACTGCTTTGTTTTACTTCATTCCATTTAATCTGGGCCCTAACCTGGAGATCCCCGTCTTGCGCGCACCCAATCTTCAATTTCCCTCAAATATCTATTCTTTGACTAGATGCACCATTCACAATTTGCGACTAACATTATGCAGTCCGCCCAAGTTGCTAAGGCCGAGAACCCCTGCCGATCCCTTCGCCTGTCGAAGTTGGTCCTGAACATCTCCGTCGGAGAGTCCGGTGATAGACTCACTCGTGCCGCCAAGGTTCTCGAGCAGCTCTCCGGTCAGACCCCCGTCTACAGCAAGGCCCGTTACACTGTCCGTACCTTCGGTATTCGCCGTAACGAAAAGATCTCCGTCCACGTCACCATCCGTGGCGCCAAGGCCGAGGAGATCCTCGAGCGTGGCCTCAAGGTCAAGGAGTACGAGCTCCGCAAGCGCAACTTCTCTGAGACCGGTAACTTCGGATTCGGTATCAGCGAGCACATCGATCTCGGTATCAAGTACGATCCCGGTATTGGTATCTACGGCATGGACTTCTTCGTCTGCATGTAAGTTTTCCACTGGACACTGCATTTTACCATAATTCTTCCCGGATGTTAACAAACTATCTTAGGGACCGCCCCGGTGCCCGTGTTGCCAAGCGCCGCCGCTGCCAGTCCAAGATCGGTGTTAACCACCGCATCACCACCTCCGAGACCATGAAGTGGTACAAGACCAAGTACGATGGAATTATCCGTTAAGTCTCTAAATCAGAGATAATGGCTGGGTAGGGCCTGTGAAGTACGAGGTACTCGACAAGAACCAAAAAATTATCCCGAGTACTCGAGGAAACAAAATTTGTGGACGGGCACCCCACTGCCAGTCAGCGGGCCCCTTTGATCTCTGCATCCAACATGGTCTTGATTTTGTACTCCGGCAACCAGGATAGGCGTGGGAGAGACATGAATTGATTATTACCCTTTTACTGCTGCTTTTCCCTTTTCACAATGAGGCTTCACGAGAGGTGATGTTTTCCGCATAACCATTGTTGAATTGGATGGCGGACACTTGGTTTCGACTTAGTGTCTAGCCAAGACTCGCTTGAGAATGCCTTTCGGGCTTCGTCAAAGAGTCGGTCTCTTTCCCAGCGAGAATATTCTCGTGGTGGATTGGGTACCTTATTCTGGCCTATCTTGTCTGTCCTTATCCTATCCTCGTAGGTGCCATTTGCCTGGCATAGAAGTAAACCGGCCGTAACTTGTAGAGTGATAGGATGATCCTCCGATCGGACGACAATGCCGACATGGGAACCGCCCACGCTTATACGCAACATGCTGTGTGGCCGCTTATACAGCAGCTTGTCCTACAGTGTGGATAGCATATCCTCCACCCAAATTCGAGCCACAATGATATGGACTCCGAGACACTTAACCAAGAAGACTTGATTGAGTGTTTATACCCCCGGAGTTTGCTATCCTTTGCTCTGCTCTATCAATAATGAGGGTTGTCGGTGGTGCTTAGCAGTTGAAATGACATGACTTTCGAGACGCCTGAATCACTCTGATACCTAATAGTCTACATATAAATATAGAAGGCTGTATATTCCAGTAAAGTAATCCGCTTCAATTCACCCACCATAGTAATAACGGAAGTTTCCCATTACTACAAACGCCGTTAAACTCTCTGCCTTACAAATTCGTTATATCGGAGCCGAGCCGGGCAATTTCGATCATTTAGTCAATTTTTAATTTCTATGTCGGTAAAATGCCTCGCTGGTCGATTGCCACCTCTTAGAAGCTCGGTCCAGCTCTCGGAAGGTCGTTCGGCTTTCTGAGTAGCGGCGACTCTAGTCCTTCATGTTGGGATAGTGATTAGTAAGATATGAAGCTCTAAGTATAGAAACAGAGCAGTTGCGATATTTTTGAAGTCTAAAGTTGTATTTAACCTAGTATATATATGATGTATATAGACCTGCATGCTGGAATACTTAGATTTAACGAGTATTTTGTTGTCTCAATCAATCCGTTATACGTAGGTTTTACTGCAAGAGAAATATGATGCGCTTGGTTTAATAAAGATAAAGATATATTACGGTTCAATAACTCTACTAAAAGATGATAGTGTAAAAACTTCCCCTGAACCACTACTTTAAGCACTACTTGTAAATCCATCCTCTCCAACATATACAATCAAAGAATCAAGTACCACAAGCTAAGTTTATTTACTACCTAAAGCATACTGTGGTTGAGATACTCATGGTACCTTGTATATGGGCATCTCATACAAAAGGTATATTCTACGTATATAATTTACACATGGGATTGTGTTTTGCGTGGTGCGGTCTAACACCCTAAAGCGTGTTGGGCATGCGAAGGGCTGGGTATAGTATCATTTCATTCTCTCGTTGTTCTTCTGTTATCCGTGACATAAATCATAATATAAAGTACCCAAACTCAGACAAGATGGAGAATATAGTAGGTATATGCCTTTCTATATTGCACTCGGTAGAATGAAAAAGCGCCAGAAATTACGCTGATTCCAAAACCAGCCACCACTGGTAGCAATTTAGATTTTCTGATCCGCCATCTCAATGGCTTTGTCACTTGGCTTATGATCATCCTCACCAGTTTCCAAATCCATGACTTTGGCATTGGCAGCGTCATCAACTCCAGCCACAACACTTTCGAACCGGCGACCACGTTTCTCAGGACCAACAGCAGTAGTGACCATGATACCGAGAGCAATGATGGCAGTGGCAACTCCCATCACAGGCCCATAGGCCTCAACACGATGACCGCTTGCACTAGTGATGAATGTGGACTCAGAGATTGCGTTTATAATCTGCGACGATGGCGAGGAAATCATATTTCCAATCTGGTATGTCAGACCCGTGAACGAAGAGCGGAATGCCGGGGGTGATAGTTCGGCTAGATGAACGGGAATCACGCCCCATGCTCCCTGAATGAAGAATTGCATGAAGAACCCTGTCGCACTCAGAGACCCCTCGCCTTCTGGGAGAATCCATGCTGGGATGAGGACCCCAGATAAAAAGGCAGCGAAGATGATTGCTCGGCGACGACCGAAGAATTGGGACAAGTAGCCGATGATGGTTCCGCCCACACAGGCTCCTGTCTTCATCAGAATTGAAGCCCGCGAGGCGCCCTTGTTATCAAGCTCTTTTGCAGTGAGCATGAATGTGGTGTACGAGTCTTGGGATGTGTGGGAATAGAAATTGAACTATCACGGGACAGATTAGATAAATGCTGGTAGGAGCTGGAATATCAGTCATAACATACCCAGGTCATGAGAATGACACAGTAGACACACATGCGCCACTCCTTGCCTAACATGCTTATTGTTTCACGCCAAAACTCGCCTGCGTTCATTGTTCGCTTGCCGGCTTTCTTGGCTTCGATAAAGGATTGTGACTCGGGGAAGCAGATGCGAACAAGACCAACTGCAATTGAGATGCCGGCTGCACAGGACAAATTGTTAGTGATGGACAAATAGTATTCGGTGGGAATAGTAGACTTACCTGCAATCCAGAATACAGTCTTCCAAGTTTCTGTTCCACCGCCAACACCAAGGTTGGCACATGCTGCAAACACATATCCCATGGAATACCCTTGTTGAAGGATTCCAGACATAAGGCCTCTCGCGTTGACACTGGTTCGTAGGATGAGTAACAAAAGTCACTGAGTCTTGGAGGATAATACTCACGGGCAATGTTCCAAAGCCATCGAGATAGCATTTCCATAAACGCCACCCATAAAAAGACCAAAGAGACTTCGTACAGCCAAGAACTGCTGGAAGGTCTTACTATAAATGGTGGCAATTTGCAAGACTCCGAGAATGATCATATTGAGCACCATGGGCCATTTACGACCATATTTGTCACCAGCGAGTCCGAAGAAAGCAGCCCCTACACTCCTCAGTAGCAGAGTCAGAGTAATGGCAGTCGTAATATCCGTTTTGGATTTGTCGTAGTAGTCTGCCAGCTTTACTGTCTGGATGGAGAGGGCATGGAAGTCAAATGCATCGGCTGTCCAGGCAATGAGTCCCACTATGAAGAATAGCCAGTCTCGAGCTGAAAGCTGCGCCATTAGACTAAAAGGGTTCTTAATAGGCTCTGGAGATTGCCATTCTGCGTATGACTCCCCGTGCTCATTGATAACCTCGACACGCTGCTTCCAGATGAAGAGATCTCCGATGGACTGACGTGCCGTGGCGAACATACCATCTGGAATGGGATCTGCCCTCTCATTTGAAGACGCCATTATGGCAATCTACCAAAAAAAGAAAAAAAAGAGGCAAGAAGATAGTAGAAGAAGCAGACAACACAAGCTAACCAACAGAATAATCAGATCACTCTGAACAGAGCGGCTTAGAAAAATTTGATAGTGGGCTTTGTGGGATTTCTCCAATTGATCTGTGGCTTATTCCTTTCGATTTCTACGTCAACGCCCACCATTTTATATGTATACCCCACGATCTACCCCCGCATCTCCATCCCGCATTTTTCTCGTGATGGGAACCATGAATGCCGCTGCACCCCAGGATGTCCCGAGTTTCGGACAAGTAAGATACCACTCCGCTAGAGAGCCAAGCAGACGCCAAGGGCTTGGAATCACCGTGCCTCCAATACCAGGACAAGATATAGCAATATCCCGCACCACACACTTTAAGGCTGGCTTGGCGTGGGGATAACCTTGGCCAGAGATCCTTCGGGACTTGGCTCAGCCGACATAGATAAGCACCCACAAGCTGCGTGGCGTTGTGTGCGTGATCATTGATCCGTTACGCCGACAAAGTTGAGTAAAAATGGGCCGATGTGCATTTCAGTGGCTCCGGTTCGGGTTTTAATGTGAATCTGGGGGTCTAAGACCATCGGAATAACTTCCTCCGGGGTTCTAGTGGACTGTTACCAGTCGGCTATATTGCCTTGGTCTGGGGATATGTCCTAGATTGGGGGTTACTGGAGCTGGGGTCTGTGGCTAAATATCTTTATACTGAGAAAATACCGAAGGCAGTCAGCCGCTGCTCACCTAATGACGTCCGAATGATTCAAGCGCAATTGTAATGGTTGGATGATAGGCTCCGCTAGAGTGGATCTGGTTAAGGGGCTAATTTCCAATTCCCAATCCTAGAACCTCCTGATTTCGGAAGTCTTGGCTTTAGCCGCGAGAGGCTACTTGTAACGGTTGGAACGTAAAATGGGCTGAACATGCACATTCCTTGCTTTCAGGGCCCACGCGATGAGGGTCAGCTTATATTCTCGTGCAGGCATCAATAGCTTGCATTTAGAGAAATGGGTGTCCATCAAAGAGTAGAGTGAGTGATATATATTTTCGGAAAGTAGTATTTGAAGAAAGTCAGAAGAAACAAAGAAATACTAGAGAACGTGGCTAGATGGATGAGTGGTAGTTAAGAGCCACCTACGTGTTAGTATGTAGTAGTAAACATCAGAGCATCAAAGTATCGTGAGGGCGGTCAGGTATACCTCCAACATGATGTACGAACTTGAGTTGACAGCACTTCTCTCAGGTTAGTCTGACAAACGAGATATCAGCAAGTTTGCTATCTATATTTCACTTTACTCTCTTTTTCTTGATCTTTCCTACAAACACTGCATCTGAAAGAAACGATCTTGGAAGCCCCCATATCACGTGATCGCCCATAAGCGACACCTCAGCAACGACAGCAGCGGCCTCCTGAGGTCACTTTCGCATCTACCAGATCTTTACCCCCCCTTTCCTCTCTTCATACATCTTCTTCTTTTCTTTTTTTCTTCCTCGTGACATTTGCATCTCATCACCCTTTTTCATCATACTTCAATTCTTCAGCCTTCTTTGCGTGGCGTTTCATTCGGCGGACTAGGTCGTACTGCGGCCTACGTAAATATGGCACCTCTCCCTATCAAGTTCACAGAGCTGGTCAATGTACGTGGTTGCCCCTCATCTCTATCTCACAACCATTGAAGCTTTTCAAACTGACCTGCGCCTGAATTCTACAGTTGACCTCTGTCGGCATTGCGGTATGTACACCCAACCATGATTACCGGCGATGCTTCGTGATGAGCTCGAGCTTCAAGACGGATGCACCGGCCGCGCGTCGCAATATTTGTGGTTATCATGGAACTGCTACTAACGTTTATGTTATATTTACAGCCGGCATCAATTGGCTTCACTTCATGTGTAAGTTGTTTACTGTCGCCTTGCGACTGACCCTCAAAACATGGATGACAAGGCCCGGCTAACTTCGCAATATTTTGTTTTAGACACTAGAATCTGATCACTACGTTTGTGTTCGTCAAAAGCTGGACGATGATAGCAAACCAGAAGTCATCATTATCGACCTCAAGAACAACAATGAAGTTCTACGACGCCCGATCAACGCCGACAGTGCGATCATGCATTGGAACAAGAACATCATTGCCTTGAAGGCTCAGGGCCGTACCATCCAGATCTTTGACCTTGGCGCACGGCAAAAACTGAAGTCGGCGAATATGAATGAAGATATTGTCTACTGGAAGTGGTTCAGCGAAAGGTCCCTCGGTCTGGTCACCGACTCAGCGGTCTACCACTGGGATGTCTACGATGCCACACAGCAGAACCCCGTCAAGGTGTTCGACCGACTTCCCAACCTTGCAGTATGTGGTTTGCGATGTGAATACAATAATGGAAGTTTAGTATGCTAACCTGGGGGGTGCTCTTTAGGGATGCCAAATTATCAACTACCGCGTCAACGCCGAGGAGAAATGGATGGTCGTGGTTGGTATTAGCCAGCAGCAGGGCCGGGTCGTCGGATCGATGCAGCTTTACTCAAAGGAGCGCGGGATCTCTCAGTTTATCGAAGGCCATGCCGCCTCTTTCGCCAACATTACCGTCGAGGGCTCCCCCCTACCCCACAGCCTCTTCACTTTCGCCGTTCGTACCCAAACGGGCGCCAAGTTGCAAATCGCCGAAATCGATCATCAAGAACCCAACCCTCGCTTCCAGAAGAAGGCCGTCGAGGTGTACTTCCCACAAGAAGCAGTCAATGATTTCCCCGTTGCAATGCAGGTATCCAGCAAGTACGATGTGGTCTACCTCGTTACGAAATACGGCTTCATCCACCTTTATGATCTCGAGACTGGCACTTGTATTTTCATGAACCGCATCTCCAGCGAGACGATCTTCACCACGAGTCCGGATTCTGAGGGAGCCGGTTTGGTCGGTGTGAACCGCAAGGGCCAGGTCCTGGCCGTCAGCGTTGACGAATCCAATATTATCCAGTACCTCATGGAGAACCCCGCCATGTCTGGTCTTGCTGTCAAACTTGCCTCGAAGGCCGGCCTTCCAGGCGCGGATCACTTGTACCAGCAGCAGTTTGACTCTCTCATGGCCTCGCAGGATTACGCCGAAGCTGCTAAGATTGCCGCCAACTCCCCCCGGGGTTTCCTTCGCACTCTGGAAACTATTAACCGTTTTAAGAGCGCTCCTCAAACCGGTCAAATGTCGGTGATCTTGCAGTACTTTGGTATGCTGCTGGACAAGGGTTCGCTCAACAAGTATGAAAGTGTTGAGCTTGTCCGTCCCGTCCTGCAGCAGAACCGCAAGCACTTGCTTGAGAAGTGGATGCAGGAGAAGAAGCTGGAGAGCTCGGAGGAGCTTGGTGACATTATCCGGCCATACGACATGTCTCTTGCTCTGACCGTCTATCTCCAAGCCAATGTTCCTCACAAGGTTGTTGCTGGGTTTGCGGAGACTGGTCAGTTCGACAAGATTCTTGCATACTCCAAGCAAGCTGGATACCAGCCGGACTACACCCAGCTGCTTCAGCACATTGTTCGCGTCAACCCTGAGAAGGGTGCCGAGTTTGCTACTCAGCTCGCTAATGAAGAAAGCGGTGCATTGGTTGACCTTGACCGCGTTGTCGACGTGTTCCTGTCACAGAACATGATCCAGCAGGCCACTTCGTTCCTCCTGGACGCTCTTAAGGACAACAAGCCTGAGCATGGCCATCTGCAAACTCGCCTCCTGGAGATGAATCTCGTCAACGCCCCCCAGGTCGCAGACGCCATCCTCGGCAACGAGATTTTCACACACTTCGACCGTCCTCGTATCGCCCAGCTTTGCGAGAACGCCGGTCTCATCCAGCGTGCACTGGAAAACTCAGATGACCCAGCTGTTATCAAGCGCAACATTGTTCGCACCGACAAGCTGAGCCCCGAGTGGCTGATGAGCTACTTCGGCCGTTTGTCCGTGGAGCAGACTCTCGACTGCATGGACACCATGCTGGAGTCAAATATTCGCCAGAACCTGCAGTCTGTGGTCCAGATTGCCACCAAGTTCTCTGACCTGCTTGGTGCCAACCGCCTGATCGATCTTTTCGAGAAATACCGCACTGCCGAGGGTCTTTACTACTACCTAGGAAGCATTGTCAACCTTAGCGAGGACCCTGAGGTGCACTTCAAGTACATTGAGGCTGCTACCGCCATGAACCAGGTCACCGAGGTTGAGCGTATTTGCCGTGAGAGCAACTACTACAACCCCGAGAAGGTGAAGAACTTCCTGAAGGAAGCCCGCCTGACAGAGCAACTCCCCCTGATTATCGTTTGTGACCGCTTCAACTTTATCCACGATCTGGTCCTGTACCTTTACCAGAACCAACAGTTCAAGTCGATCGAGGTTTATGTCCAGCGCGTCAACCCTGGTCGTGCCCCTGCTGTTGTTGGCGGCTTGCTCGATGTTGACTGTGATGAGGCTATCATCAAGAATTTGCTCTCGACCGTTGACCCATCCGTCATCCCCATCGACGAGCTCGTTACTGAGGTCGAGACCCGAAACCGCCTTAAGTTGCTTCTGCCTTTCCTCGAGGCCACTCTTGCCACTGGCAACCAGCAGCAGGCTGTTTACAACGCCCTTGCGAAGATCTATATTGACAGCAACAACGACCCGGAGAAGTTCCTGAAGGAGAACGACCAGTACGACACCCTCATCGTTGGAAAGTACTGCGAGAAGCGTGATCCCAACTTGGCGTACATTGCCTACAGCAAGGGTCAGAACGATCTGGAGCTTATTAGCATCACCAACGAGAACTCCATGTTCCGTGCCCAAGCTCGTTACCTCGTTGAGCGTGCCGATCCCGAGATCTGGACCTTTGTCCTCAGCGAGAACAATGAGGGCCGGCGTTCCCTTGTGGACCAGGTCATCGCCACCGCGGTTCCCGAATCTACCGAACCCGAGAAGGTGTCTGTCGCCGTCAAGTCGTTCCTTGAGGCCGATCTGCCCGGCGA